TCTCCCTGGGTGATTCACTTCCTCCCTTCAGGTGTATGCCATCCTTATCAAGTCTCCCTGGGTGATTCACTTCCTCCCTTCAGGTGTATGCCATCCTTATCAAGTCTCCCTGGGTGATTCACTTCCTCCCTTCAGGTGTATGCCATACCTATCAAGTCTCCCTGGGTGATTCACTTTCACCCTTCATGTGTCTGCCAGCCCTCCTAAATCTCCCTGGGTGACTCACTTCCTTTCTTCAGGTATTTGCCATCCCTCTCAAGTCTTCATGGGTGATGACATGTGCTTTTGCACCCTCGGGGAACCTGGTAGCTAGCGGTGGTCTAGACAATATGTGCACCGTCTACAACCTCAAGGGCAAGGATGGCAATGTCAGAACCTTGAAGGAGCTTGAAGCACACACAGGTAAGAGAAGAAAGGCTTCCATATGTAAGTTATCAGTCACTGTTTATTTTAGTGCCATCCAGTAATTTCTGACAGGATAGTCATGGAACACCTTATCTTTTTTACCCAGAATAAAACATGCAGTAATCCCATTTTGCTTTGTGAATCTGAAGACATCAACAAGCCTGTTACAAATATCAAAACCAGTACATCCTCTAACTAATACTCATAGAGAGCTTCCTCTTCAACTCTGTCTTTAACATCTGCTTCACTGAGACTTACAGAGTGACAGTTGATATACACATTGAATGAGCGCATAAAGTGTGCCATTAATAACCTGCCTGTATTTTTTCTCCACAGGATATCTGTCGTGTTGCCGCTTCCTCAGTGACGCTGAAATCATCACAAGCTCTGGTGACACTACTTGGTAATAATCAAACGCTGCAGTGATGCTGATGCAGTGAACTGTAGTTAGGCAGGTTCTCCCGCTGACCTGCAAGCTCTCTTTTTGCTTTTGTCATGAGAACCACAGCAGCTACAGCTTCTGTTTAGTCTGTCATTGTATGGATGGTAGAGATAGGTAGAGAGGTGAGGAGCGTGCGCTGATTACAGTGCATTGCTGCACCCACCATATGACAAACCACCTCAGGGATGAGACATGAGTGCAGCCATGTGGCAGGTGATACCTCAGCACCGCACTAGTCCAAATGGAGCAGTGTGAGTTTTTTCCGTAGCTGGAGTCCCAATCCAACATAAGGGTGGTGAGATCACCATTAAGTCTTCAAGCCGGAGACACAAGGCAGAAATGCAACATTCAGTGAAAAAAGCAGCTTATTCTCATCACAACACTGAGCCCTGTGATTATAACTCCCACCCCCTGGTAGTGCTCTTTGGGACATAGAGACTGGCAAGCAGAAGACAGTCTTCATGAACCACGTCGGTGACTGCATGTCCCTGGCGCTCTCTTCGGACATGAATGTCTTTGTCTCGGGAGCTTGTGATTCCCAAGCCAAGCTCTGGGACATCCGGGAGGGCACCTGTAAGCAGACCTTCCAGGGACATACCAGCGACATCAACGCCATTGCGGTGAGTGGATGCTGCTGTCTAGGGACACACATTTGTACGCACATTCATCCTGTTAGAGGCTGCAGGACCTTCTCATGGATGATTTCCACTCACAGTTCGTCCCCTCTGGGACCGCCATGGTAACCGGCTCTGATGATGCCACCTGCAAGATGTATGACCTGCGCTCTGACCAAGAGCTCATCACCTACCAGGACTCCAGCATCGCCTGTGGAGTCACATCAGTGGCCCTGTCTCTCTCTGGCCGGCTCATCATGGCCGGGTATGACGACTTCAACTGCAACATCTGGGATTCTCTCAAGGCTGAGAAAGTGGGTGAGTTGAGGAAGCACCCTGAGGGCATGAGGTTACTGATGCTTTTCCTGCTTCTTCTGCACTAGGTGCTTAGATTGAGTTTGTAATTAGTTGCGTGTCATCTCTCTTCCTCCCAGGTGTACTGGCGGGCCATGATAACAGAGTAAGCTGCACCGGGGTGCCACCGGACGGCATGTGTGTCTGCACAGGATCCTGGGATAGCTTTCTGAAGATCTGGAACTAAGCTGCTGCACCAGAGCCAAGTGGAGAGACACAGGGAGAGAGGTGTGGATGGAGTGAAAGGGGGAATTACTGCAAGCGAAACAACCGGATTTGATCCATGTGAACTGAGAACTATGGTGTAAAAGTTATGTTCAGAATTCCAGATGAGCCCCTATGTCTCTCTCCCTCCTTCCAGTTTATAAAACCCTGCTTGGGAGTCCAGTAAGCCCATATAATGCAGAAACATTAATAAGATGCAAGACAAATGTCCAGAAGCTTCTGCTACTACTAACACCACAGTCATGGCTGTGGCAAATATAATAGTATTAAAAATATTGTCAAAAACTTTTGAGGTATTTTCGTAGGAAGACTAAAAAGTATATCGTTTGTTTTTGAAGGTTTCTAAAATGATGGAAGAATATCTAATAAAAGTTTAGTATTGCAAGTTTGCTTGTTTGTTTTTATTCTACAGATCTTTTATTGTTGATAAGAATATCCATTAGCTGTCTATTCCTAAATTTATCTCATTATGATTTCTAGTTAAACATGGACATAACATGAAATTAACATTAAACTTCAGCTTCAGAAAAGAATGAAGCATTCTGAAAATATTATTATATAAAACACTCAGAAGAATGAATTGTATTTAATCTGAAAATCTTGCTGCATTATGTTTTGATCAGATCAAAATACTTGTGGTTTTTTTCACAATGAATATTTGTTAAAATTAACTACTTATTAAGTTGTTTTAAATAAATATAGAACTTTGCATTAACCAGTCTGCTCCTTTTTATAAGATCCATTATGTATGAACACAAGTTTTAAGACAAGTTAAAAAAAGCCATCTATGAAAAAAGCCAGCTTCACAACAGAATGCAAAATGATTTATCCGAAAGATCATGAATGGTTTGGCAGCTGTTGGTTCCCACAGCAGTACCTTGCAGTAGCTGCAGACGCCTCAGTCTGTGCAGCGTGTGTATGATATTGTGCTCCTACACGAGTGCAGTCACACAGAAATCCAACCCCCACCTGAAAATGACCCTCTCCATCAGCTGAATGCACCATCATGGGCGAATCCAAAGTGTGTCACTGAGCATGTGTGTGTGTACTGATAAAAGGGAGCTTATTCCTTATGGCTTTTTATGGATGGTAGCAGGTGCCTAGAGGAAATTCTGCAATCTAACAGATTCTCTACAAACAGAATATGGCTTGGATATGAACATATAACCTTTGGGAAAACATCACCTGGTTAGTCACCATGTCAATATTTTTTGTCATGTTAACTAGGAATTTTATGATTCTATGCAAGGCCGGCGAAGCATGTCTGCTTATGGAGTGCTGGCTGACCATGCTCTCGGATGACCCTAAGCGCATTGAGCATTGTTTTGGACAAGTGTCTACTAAACAAACCAAATCTAATAAAAAAGGACGTATGCATATGTGTGTGTGCAGAGGGAGGTTGTAAGATATGGTGTGACTTTAGCAGACCACAAGATGTGTGTGTGTCTGTGTGTGAGTGTGTATATATATATATATATATATATATATATATATACAAATATATATATACATATATAGTATAGATATATGAATAATTATATTAAATTATAATATATAGTATAACATAATATAATTATAATATATAATAATATGTGCTATGTAACCATGGCGAGGGAGGGGACAGATATATTATGGGATGTCTGTCCTGTTCTCTTTGTGTTAATGAGAAAGTGACAGCGAGGCTCCGATGTTGGACAGGGCAGTATCACAGGGCAGCCGGGGGCTTAACGCTGGGGTTACCGCTATCATTGGCAAACTGTAACACAAAGGATTTCAACGTGTGGCGAACTGTAGCGGCGTGCACCCAGCAACGTCAATTTAGTGAGTATGAACTGTTGGCTGGTATTTACGTTTATGTCGAAGCTTTGCTTTTATTTTGGAAAAGGCAACGTTTAAGCGTAGCAGAAGGACAGGTAAACGAAAATAAAGCAGATAGGTGCTGCTTATCTGGACCATTCATTTGCTAGTCTTAAATTCAGTTCCGTGCAGGTGAAATGCAGGATGGCATCACAGTAATTTAATAACGTGACAGCGCTGGCATGCTCTCAGGCTACATGTACCGGAAAATATCGCCACACATGTTGAAGCCTGTTTGCCTGATTATTCGAGTTCACACTGTTTTTATTTTCTTGAGTTCAGATAAATGATGAGAAGTTAAACATCTGAAGGATGTGGGGTATGCGGACTGAGCCCCTCTGTGCTAACGTTAGCAGGCTGGCCGGAGGGACGCGGGCGGCACCCCGTCTTTCCTCCGCGGACGCGGGCACTTCCAAACCTCTCACTCCCTCTGTAATGAACAGGCGCCCGGCTGCAGGCTCCACAGGCTGCGCTGTACCAACCAGCAGCATGTCAGCGAGTGAGGATGACAGGGAGGACACCGCACCGTTCCCGGACCGGTCGGTGGTACCAGGTAAGGTCCAAACGAAAGTGCCGAATAATGTAACCCGCTGTGATATGGCCTTCGGTTCAATATTTCACTATTGAGTAAAGCATTTGGGAAATAACACTTGTAGCTAAGCTTTAGTGCAACATTCAGTGTTCCTCTATATGAATATTTATGTCTTGTGGAATTGGTTGGTGGGGGGCGGTACGAATGAGCCGCCCATTTTAATCCTCGTTTAGCTTATCGGCTAACAGCACCGCTGGGTAACAGTTAGCATGTCAGCTAACAGCTGTCGCTGCCTGATTTGGAGCGGAAGCCCGATTTGGACTGCGCATGCGCCAGAACGCGTCTACTTCGCGCGAGAACAATCGGACGCTCTACGACAGTTTCTGCCCGATCTAGGCTGCGTCTGGCGGATTGTACGCAGCGCCTGCGTGAGATAATTTAATCAGTTAATGCTTAATTATATTATGATTTGTATTTAATTATATATTATACGATATTGTGTGAGTGATATCTGAGTGTGCCCTGCGATGGGTTGGCGCCCCATCCTGGGTTAGTCCCCGCCTTCCGCCCGTAACCTCCGGTATAGGCTCCAGACCCCCCGCCACCCTGAATAGCACAAGCGGTTAGCGAAAATGGATGGATTGATTATACGATGTGACAAATTAAGAACAGCAAATACAGCAGCTAAACAAATCACACATTCATACTGATAATGGTCTGAAATATGGTAATGTTAAAGTTAATATGGATTCATATTTAAGTTGGCAAAAAAATCATTTATTGTAGGCAACTCTACTGATGAGTTTTCACAAGCATCTCATCTCAGTGATTCAAACCAAATGTAAGTCAGGAAATGCTCAGTGATTTTTCACAAGAAGCCCTTAGACTGGGGACATGTGTATCATAAATTGAAAATTAACAAAATTGCAAACTACTTAAGTCATTTCTTTGTGGGGACAAAACCCTTGCCATCTAGAAGGCGGCCTGTATACCCACACAAAAAATAGACAATGACGACAAGAGTCCCTTCTGAGCAGAATTCAAGGCAGTGTGTGACTTAGCTGGCTAAGTCTCTGTCCCTGTGAATGTAAGGTCGCTGGTTCAATCCCAGCCTCGCCTCATCTGCGGGTCCTTGAGCAAGGCCCTTAACCCCCAGCTCCCTGGGTGCTGCTATGGGTGGCTGCCCTTTGAGGCGTAAAAAGAATTTCCCCAAGGGGATCAATAAAGTATCAGTTAAAGGCTAAAGGCCATGTTGGTGTAGAAGATTGGTGAGTGATGTCTCCATGGCCTGATACTGAAAGATGAACAGTAAGAGGTCCTTTTGACTCAGCAGAGGGATGGAGGCACATCTAACCACAAATCCACAATCTCCTCCTCTCTGGGTTTTCTGTTTCGCATGGGATTCTGTAGAAGCCCAACCCAGACTTGTCTCCTTGTCAGTTAGTGCATCCACTTGAACAACAACTATCCTACATTTTGCCTGAAAAAACATAGCAAAGTAAAGCTTTTTTGCCCTCCGGGTGAGCAGTCCTGTGAGGATGTGATGATATGCGGGAACTTTGATTTGAAGAGCAGATTTCCAAAACTCACTTGGTCGGTGGAATAAATTTTTGACAGGTTTACTGTGGACTGTGGAATTTTGGAAATGTAACAAAAGTTCATTGCTAGATTTGATGAGGACTGAGTTAGTTTTGGTTCCCAGTGCTATAACATATGATGAAGAAGCCGGACATTAGGCCACTGGCGATCTCATCTGAAAAATAACACAAGAATGGACTGAGTGAGTTTTAGAAATGTGCTCTTCAACAGACATGGGTAGTTCAGGTCCAGAGAATAAAAGTACAGACCAAGATTTTGTTTCAACCAACCTGGTGAGTATAAAGAGTCACAGTCACAGAGTACTCAATTGGTTGGGTCAAACAAAATCTTGGTCTGGACTTTTACTCTCTGGACCTGAACTACCCACCTCCGCTCTTAAATTCTGACAGTAGGTTGTGCAGGTCTGAAATAAATATCCTCACATTTTAAATTTTTTTTCTTAAAAGTGGAGAAAAACTATAATTGAGTTCATGCTTGGAAGCCGATTGGTTAATGGTGATAGATTATGCGTATGCATGACGCTCTACCCACAAACAACCCACAGTAGGGATCTTAACTTGCAGTAACATCAAAATCTGTTGAATTTTAAAGCAAATAAAAATGTACCAAAATTCACTTGCTAATAGAGGTAAGGAGCATGCACTGATTACAGTGTGTTGCCGCACCCACCACACGACAAACCACTTCAGGGATGAGAACCTGAGTGCAGCCATGTGGCAGGTGATACCTCAGCACCACACTAGTCCAAATGGACCAGCGTGAGGTTTTTTCCCAGTAGCTGCAGTGCCAATCCTGCCACCAAGCCCCAAATTATTCCCTGTTAGTTGGAGGACCTCCTTACAGGGCTGGATGTAGATTAACATCATACCCAGGATGAAGCAATTGCTGATTAAGGGCCTTGCTCAAGGGCACAACAGAGTAGAATCACTCTGGGCATTCACGGGATTTGAACCAACAACCTTCCAGTTGCTGGCACAGATCCTTAGCCTCAGAGCCACCACTCCATCCTTTGCTAATAAAGTAGCTAAATTCTGGGTGGTAATACATCCTTTAGATGAATGTAGCCAAAAATGATTTGTACACTGTGAAAAAATGGTCAAAATTGAAATGAAATTGAGCATATTGAAATGTAAAATGTTACAAGTATGTCATGTAAAGAAACAAGAACTTTTGTTCAAAATATATTCTGGAATTGTTTTTAAATGTTGCAATTTCTTGCCTTCAAACAATTATGCGTACACCTGGTCATTGAATGAAAATGCGGCAATGGGAGGAGTTCCCAGTCATAACAGAGTTAATTTAACGTGACACATAACAGCAGGAGCTCCGAAGAGGCAGGTAATTGGGGGCCTTGGAGGTCATAACCCACACAAGCTTTGTAGGGTTAGTTGAGTTTCCCAACATGGGTAAAACTGCTGAAATAAATAAATTAAATTTCACAAATCACCCTGCAACTTCACCATGCTTCCAAGTGCTCTCTTTTTGAGAACAGAACTCTACACTTCTTCCATTCAGCAGTTTGTATGTCCATGCATCCATTTGATAGATGGCAACGGAGTGTCTTGGTTTTGCTGTTCCATTGGAACATTGTCATCTAAAAAAGAACTGATTATTTGTTCACATCAAAATATACTTTGGTAATCATGCCCATACATATCCAATGGTCATGTTTTCACAGAACCTTAGCGCTCTCATGCACAAGCAGATTTAGGGCCTCTTCAAAAATGAATTTCCCCAGTGGCCCCTCACACTGGATTGTACTGATGTACCTTGATATTTTGCAGAACCGCCTGGTATTTGCTGTTCTTTCCCAATTTGGTGCTCAGGGACCATTAGGCAGTCCACCTTTTTGCTTCTTTCCAGCCCCCGATAGGGACTAAAAATGTGGACTGTTTGGCAGGGAGCTGGAGGTATCAAAAATGTGGACCATCTGTGGGACCTTGAGGACTGGTTTGGGAAACACTGCTCTGTGATGATGCGTTTGTGATGATGCTGTGCAGCCAACAATGTTGTCTGTGTCTGACCAACATTTTGTGTTTAAGGTGGTTAATCTGTCGCTGTATGGGTAACAGGCGGGAGAGGTAGTTTCTGCTCTTCCATGTGATCATTTTTGCAGGGATCAGTCATTTATGATGCTAACTTCTGCGACGTCAATTTACTAGATGAGGAAGACGAGGAGGATGAAGATGAAGACGTAGTTTATGAGGAGGAAACGATTTCACAGAGGAGAAAGAAGAATGCAAAGAAAAGCCGTGAGACTGTCACTGGCAAGAGACTGAGGCCCCGCAAAGAGGTACTTTCTTGTCGGGCAGGAGTGTCAGTGTGTCCGGCTTGGCGTGAATTCTGTAGTCTGCATGTGTGACAGAGAGAGAGACACACACACACGCAATCTGACAGGACTCTTTGCTCAGGTGTATATCTAAGAACTGTAAACTCAGACCTTGTGTATCGCCAGCTTGTGCTCTCCATCTCCCATTCCATCTAGGATCTGGTTAGCAGCTCTGCGGAGGAAGCGCCGGCCGTTGGTGGGGGGCAGAGGGGTGGAGAGAGTGGGGAGGGGGCTGTGGGCTCTGAGACAGAGGGAAGCGACTACACTCCAGGCAAGAAGAGGAGGAGGAGAGGGAGCATTGTGAAAAGGAGGGGGACAAATGGAGAGAAGGATAAAGCGACTACAGGGACCAATGGAGGAAAAGGGAAAAAGAAAGAGCCTGAAGAGGAAGAAGAGGATGAGGAAGAGGAGGATGACGATGAAGACAGCCAGGTGAGAGTGGTCCGCAATCAAGGTGGCATCATCATTTATTAGGTACTCTGGCAAAGTTACTCATGATGTCACTGCATTTGTGTGTTAGATGCTTTGAAGGGGTGACGTGGTGCACAGTACACATTAGGTCGGCACTCTGGTGACTCCTGTTTGCGTCTCTCAATGAGACATGATGTTAAAAGTCTGCATGAGTCTTAACCACCTGTAACCCTCCCAGGAGCCCAAATCATCCTCCCAGCTGCTGGACCAGTGGGGCATGGAGGACATCGATCATGTGTTCACCCAGGAGGACTACCGCACACTCACCAACTACAAGGCCTTTAGCCAGTTCATCAGGTGTGGCCTCCTTGTAAGCCATAACTACATTCTGTGCCCCGGCTGTGACCCAGCGTCTCTGCTGCGTACTCTGCTGGGTGTAATTACTCAGGTGAAGTAGGAAGAGAGTATCCGCAAGGTGACAGCCATAATTAATAATGTGTTGGGATGAAATATTATGTCCGACTTTTGGACATACATTCTGGCAAACATGTTAAAAGGAGATTTTGTAAGAAGGAAAAAGAAGATAAATATAGTGTTTTTGAGAAGTAGAAGACAGAGAGGCTGCACCAGTGGCAGACTAATCCAGGGGCTGAAAATACAGAACTCATATATACCCCTACTGTGTTACATACATTTTCAATGGTGGCTTGAAAGACAGTGTCACAAGGCATTTAATTAAAGGATATGGGTTTGTAACTAAAATGTTTCAGGTTCCTATACCAAGGGAACAAGGGACATAGGTGCACTTGAGTTATGTAATGGTAATTACTCCAGTAATTTTCCAGAGTTATAGCTGGGTCATCCCTTTACAAGAGCAATTTGCAGTTAGCTCTGCACTGCTCTGCTTTTTCGATGCTGTTGGTGAGGTTCTCAGCTATGTTATCCTGCCGTGTCCAGTCTCACTGTTTTGCGACCTTCTGCTATGCACACAGACCCCTCATTGCAGCTAAAAACCCCAAGATTGCCGTGTCCAAGATGATGATGGTGCTCGGGGCAAAATGGCGCGAGTTCAGCACCAACAGTCCCCTGCGTGGATCAGCCACCGGGGTCGCAGTGCCCAACACCGGCCTGCAGGGGGAGCCTTCGGCACGAGTTACTGTGGGTGAATCCACTGCTCCCCCCACCACTCCGACTGCTCCTCCTCCTCCTGTGCCAGTCATACGCAAGGCCAAGACTAAGGAAGGAAAAGGTCTTCTGGCTTTCTGAGTCAGCTTATTGGATTGTATTTTGTTTGGAAGTGGAGGTAAGTCTCCAAACAATTCTTATGCTGTTTGTCACTCAGGGCCGAATGCGCGTAAGAAGGTCAAGTCCCAGGAGAAGAAGGGAAAGGCCAAGAAGGTGGCTTCTGCCAAGATCAAAGCGGGCTCTGTCGGCAGCAAGAGGAAACGCTCTTCTGTAGGGGCACCGTGCCATTCTCACCAGCATTGCTGCGGCCCGTAGGTCAGCCAGCACCACAGTGTGACCGACTCCAATCTGTCACCATCTCTTAGAGCGAGGACGATGATGAGAGTGACGCCGACAACGGCGGCTCTGTGGGCGTGTCCGTGACGGAGGGGTCTAGCAGGAGCAGCAGCCGCTTGAAGAAAAATCCCAAGAGCGGCAAGAAGAAAAAGAAAGGTTAGTCTTGGGGCTCGGCGGCCGCCCTGACCCACTGGCGGAGTGGCGGTAATGCGAAGCCGCCTCCTGTCGTTTAGCAGAAGACGATGCCGAGGGCTACGAGACGGACCATCAGGACTATTGTGAGGTTTGCCAGCAGGGCGGCGAGATCATCCTGTGCGACACCTGCCCCCGTGCATACCACATGGTGTGTCTGGATCCTGAAATGGAGAAAGCCCCTGAGGGAACCTGGAGCTGCCCCCACTGTGTCAGTAACCCCCTCTAGCAACGGGGGAGACGTGTGGCTGCTTGGATAATTCATATATTATTCGGTGTCTGATGACAACAGCTAATGGTCCAGTGTATGTCCCCCCGCACACTCCGCGTGGCTTTCCTCCCGGCAGGAGAAAGAGGGCGTGCAGTGGGAGGCCCGGGAGGATGGCTCGGACGCCTCCGAGGACCCGGAGCCCCAGGAGGACGACAACCACATGGAGTTCTGCCGGGTGTGCAAAGATGGCGGCGAGCTGCTGTGCTGTGACTCATGTCCCTCGTCGTACCACCTTCGCTGCCTCAACCCGCCCCTGGCCAGCATCCCTGACGGCGAGTGGGTCTGCCCTCGATGCAAGGTCAGTCAGCACGGCCGCACACCAGAGATATCATGACCTATTTATGAGCCCATGTCAGTGTGCAACGTCATTAGTTTTGTGAAAGTTCCTTGATTTCTGTCTCTCTTCATTCTTTATTCTCTTTATTCTAGTGTCCACCTCTGAAGGGAAAAGTCCAAAAGATCCTAACGTGGCGCTGGAGTGATCCACCGGCCCATAAGCCTGTTCCCCGCCCCTCCAATCTCCCAGCTGATGCCCCTGACCCTTTGCTCCCAGCCAGTCGGCCCGAGAGGGAGTTTTTTGTCAAATGGAGCAACATGTCTTACTGGCACTGCTCATGGGTGTCAGAGCTACAGGTAAATGCACGTGTAAAGCACCACTTCACTGCTCCTGGGTCTCAGAGCTACAGGTAAACACTTGTGTAATGCATGTTCTCACTGCTCCCGGGTGTAAGCTACAGGTAAACGCACGTGTAACACACCACCTCACTGCTCGTGGGTAGCAGAGCTACAGGTAAACGCACGTGTAATGCACCACCTGCAGCTATGAATTTGGTGATCAGTGGTCATTGTTGACACACCACAGCACACAGTGCGCAACAACGAAATATGTCGTCTGCATTTAACCCATATGTGACATGCTGTGCATCTTACGTAATGCTCTATTCAACGATTCTGCCTAGCTTGAGATCTACTGTCAGATGATGATCCGGATGTACCAGCGCAAGAATGACATGGAAGAACCCCCGGCTGTGGACTTTGGTGGTGATGGGGATGAGGAGAAGAGCATGAAAAGGAAGAACAAAGACCCTCACTTTGCCAAGATGGAGGAAAAGTTCTTCCGGTTTGGCATCAAAATGGAATGGATGGTGATCCATCGCATCCTCAATCACAGGTCATTTTGCTGGTTCCTCGTCTTGCATCTGTGTCTCTTGGTGATGGTGGAAGGGATGCCTCTGAAAATCTGAGAGAAAACCACTGTTCTCCACTGTCTTCAGGATAGATAAGAAGAACAACATCAATTACCTGATAAAGTGGAAGGACTTGCCCTATGACCAGGCTACATGGGAGATGGAGAACATCGATATTCCTGATTTCGATACGTACAAGCAGCAGTACTGGAACCACAGGTAAGACATTCTCGTAAGATTAACATGATCGAGCATGAAGTCTGTGTTCCTGGCTGTATTCCTGGGTGAATATTCCTGGGTGAATATTCTGTGCAGTTTATGCAACCTCCAAAGCATTTCATCCTAAAGACACAGATTCTATGCAATTAACAGTCATTAATTTACTACTACTCCAGGTAGTGGAATGGCACTGAATATGAAGTGATGTTATAGAGCTAAAGTACCTCTTAAAATACTGACTTCAGAATGTCTGTGCATCCATCAGCATATCCATTCAGTACGTGGTCTTCTCGGTGTCCCGACATGAGCTGCTTGACCTCAGTTAAGTTTGTATTTGCATGACGATGTCAAATCTGGTTTCTCTGCCGCGAAGGGAGCTGATGCTCGGTGACGACGGCAGGCCGGCGAAGCTGAAGCTGAAGGGGAAAATGCGGCAGTCTGAGCGGCCACCCAAGAGCCCCGCCCTGGACGTGAGTGTCGCCCCTCGTGTGTGCTGTGGAGCGCGGCTGTCAGGGCCCGTCACCTGCTGTATAACGTCCCTTTTAACAGCCCACCGTGAAGTTCGAGCAGCAGCCAGAGTACCTGGACCGGACCGGGGGCACGCTGCACCCCTACCAGCTGGAGGGGCTGAACTGGCTGCGCTTCTCCTGGGCCCAGGGCACTGACACCATCCTGGCGGATGAGATGGGGCTGGGCAAGACCATCCAGACCGTCGTCTTCCTCTATTCTCTCTACAAAGAGGTGGGGCGCTCTCTGTGGTGTGCAGCGATTGAAATGGGATGCCTGCAGAATCCTTGTCTTATGCATTTAAGCACCATTTGAGGAGTAGCTCAGTGTTTTGGTCTTTTTCTCTGGTCCCAGTGAAGGTTCACATATAGGATGGTTTTTCTATTCTTTTTGATTCTGCCTTGTTTTTGTCACTATAGCATGAAACTCTGGTTAGGCTGCTAAAGTGACAGTGAAATCGATTCACATTTTCATCCAGTACTTCTGTATTGCGTTACATTGAGCAGCTGTGTTCCGCTGAGTGTAGGAGGGACCCCCTTATTTAGCTGACCGTATATCTGAGATATTCCACTCTGGCGTCAGCCCTTGGGAGCCCTTGTTACAGTCATGTGCGTAAGTCTTAGGCAGTCAAAGGAAATGTTTAAAGTCAAAGTCAATTTACCTTTTACTCTCTGTTTCAGATATATGATGCATGGAGTCAATGTCACTCTCCTTGGTCATAGTGCAAATGAAAAATAAGTCATAAATACAACATAAATGCTAAAACATAAATAGACATTTTACGACATGACCTTAAGACACAGAAAGACACATTTAACCACATGACTGGTGGTCAAAGATTGTCCACATTGTGACAGAAATTTGACATTGAGGCAGAATGCGCAGTAAATACATTGGTGTGAATCCCGAGCTGAAGCTGTTCATCTGGGTAGTAAGTGTATATAATTGCTCAGAATAAAACAGAAATTAATGTTAAAACATAGTAAAATTTAGAGTAATTCTAAAAACGAACAATTCTGTTTTCTAAAGTTACTGATATCTTGTTGGATAGCTGGTTGAACAGCATTTCGGTCCCAAACCTCTCCTCAGGGGCACTTCAGCCATTACATGTATTTATCACCAGCTCAATTAATTAATTAGCTTAATCAGTTAAATAACTCAGTGAGGTATCTATTAGCCAAACGAGGTCTGCTAGTGGTCGAGTGAAAAAATACGTTGACGCAAATCTGCTGTAAAAACCATCTTCTTTAACTGCTAAAGACAGTGCTGTATACCCGTCTGCAGTCATGCCATTGAGACGTATCCGTGTGTCCGTCTGTTTGTCTGGCAGGGTCACTCAAAGGGGCCATTCCTGGTGAGCGCCCCTCTCTCTACCGTCATCAACTGGGAGCGTGAGTTCGAGCTCTGGGCTCCTGACATGTATGTGGTCACCTACGTGGGCGATAAAGACAGCCGTGCCGTGATTCGTGAGAACGAGTTCACTTTTGACGACAACGCCATCAGGGGCGGGAAGAAGGCCTCCAAAATGAAGGTCCGTGTTTGAGGTCTCTGGATGATGAGCAGCTTCCATGATGCGTCAGGGACCATTGTGTTCATGAAGGTCCGTGCCCTTCCTTCCATGCAGAAAGAGGCGTCTGTGAAGTTCCACGTTCTTCTGACATCCTATGAGCTCATCACCATTGACATTGCAAGTCTGGGCTCCATCAGCTGGGCGTGTCTGGTGGTGGACGAGGCTCACCGGCTGAAGAACAACCAGTCCAAAGTGGGTTGCTGTCTGTGCCCCGAATGGAAGCTCATTTTCGGCATTGGTCATTTGATAGAGAGGGTGGTGTCCTGCCTACTGCTCCGCTCAGACATTGATTGAGTTGTAAGGAGTTAATAGTTGCGATGTATCTTGACTAATGGAACTTTAGTAAGTGAAACTTTTATGCTGATGGATTTTTAATTAATATTAGTATGAGGATGTATAAAGTCCACTCACCACAGACAGAGTAGGCCTCCTCCCCACTGACAGAGGAGGTCTTCTCCCCACTGACCACTAACAGAGGAGGTCTCCTCCCCACTGACAGAGGAGGTCTCCACCCAGCTTCGTTTTGAGTCTGATGGATGCTGGATGTGAAATTTGTGTTTTCAGCTCCACTAGCCCTAAGCCTAAGCCTGACCTCTAAGCCTATCCCCAAACCCTTAGCCTAACCACTAAGCCTAAACCTGACCCCTAAGCCTAACCTCAAAGCCTAAACCTGACCCCTAAGCCTGCCCCCTATGCCTGACCCCTAAGCCTGCCCCCTATGCCTAACCCCTAAGCCTAAACCTGACCCCTAAGCCTGACCCCTAAGCCTGTCTGTTTTCTCTGGCCTACAGTTCTTCAGGCTGCTCAGTAACTATTCCCTGAAGTACAAGCTGCTACTGACGGGAACCCCTCTGCAGAACAACCTGGACGAGCTCTTCCACCTGCTGAACTTCCTGACCCCTGAACGATTCAGGTCAGTTCCCTCATGTCTGATGATTGCTTGTTAATCACCTGCCCACTTAGCATGGGTTCTATTCCCATGCAGCATGCGGGTCATTTTCTGTGACTGGAAATATACAGGTTGTTTTTCTTTTTTTTCCTGGTGGTTTAACCCTTTAGACTTTAGGGCCGTTGTATGGCTCTGTGAGTTAGTCTGTGCCTCTTTCTGGAAGGTCACTGGTTCCGGTCCAGTGGTCTGCAATGATGATGTTATTGTTAGGCCACCGAGCAAGGCCAATAACCTCAGGTGCTCCACGGGGCCTGATGAAAGGCTGAGCCCGTCCTCTGACCCCAAGCTTTGCTCTCTGCTGTACTTTGTCTCAAATAGGAGAGTAAGGCTATACGTAGCCAAATGCCCCAAAAACAAAATGCAGCGTGAATATGCTGTAAACTGCTGGAGCATGCGTGGTGTACATGCGCATGCGGTCACAGATCGGGCAGTAGCAGTGGTGTCAGTACATGAAGGCTGATCTTTTTGACTCATCAACAAGGAATCATCTCCTCATTTCCATAGAGCTCATCTTCCACACTGATATGCCTGTTTGGACTCTGTCTGATTTTGGAGTTTACTGTAGCCTTTTTTAAAATGGCGTTCGATATGGTATACTGGGGTGAAATGTCTAGAGCAGGGGTGGGCAATCTTATCCACAAAGGGCTGCTGTGTATGCAGGTGTTTGTGATAACCTTTAGGTCAGCTGTGACTCTTTAGCCAATCAGTCCTCTAATTAATTCTAATTAAGGAGTTGCAGCGAAACCCACACACCCAACGGCCCTTTCTGGGTAAGATTGCCCACCCCTGCTGTAGAGGGTTTGATCGCCTAGTGCTGATGCTTGTGACTGATCCTTTATGACGCTGTGTACATCTTGTCTTTCACTTGCAGTAACTTAGAGGGCTTCCTGGAGGAGTTTGCAGATATCGCCAAGGAGGACCAGATAAAAAAGCTGCACGATCTGTTGGGACCACACATGCTGCGCAGACTGAAAGCTGACGTCTTCAAGCACATGCCGGCCAAAACGGAGCTCATTGTTCGTGTGGAGCTGAGTCCCATGCAGAAGTGAGCAGCCCTGCTGGGGTGCAGACCTGTAAATGTGGGTGCAGGCTCGTACAGTCGGGGAGGTGCGCATTGCTGTCTGCAAGGCATGAGCTGCTTGGCAGACCTGTAAATATGGGTGCTGTCTTCTGTGTGTCATGCGCCGATGGGAATAGGGTTAATTTCCCCTACCAGTCAGAGGAAGGTGAGTGGGATAATATGCATATTTGAATACCTTATTCTAATTTTTTCAGGAAGTACTACAAATTCATCCTCACGCGTAATTTTGGGGCCCTGAACACTCGTGGAGGAGGAAACCAGGTGTCCCTTCTCAACGTGATGATGGACCTTAAGAAGTGCTGCAACCATCCTTATCTCTTCCCTAAAGCAGCCATGGTAGGAACTGCATGTGGAGTGACCGGTGCCTCTTCCTGTCACCATACTCACCATTTTGATAAATGCACTTTATGGCCACCAGCGGGAAAATGCTACCTTCACCTTCAAGTTGTTTCTTACAGGAAGCACCCAAGATGCTTAATGGAATGTATGAAGGTGGCTCCCTGACCAAAGCATCCGGGAAACTGCTACTGCTGCAGAAGATGCTGAAGAAGCTGAAGGAAGGTGACCATAGGGTGCTGATCTTCTCACAGGTATGTGAGCTGCAGTGTACACAGGAACGCAAAGAAAAGCCTGAAACTCATCGTATCGTATGCATCTTATATGCTCTGTTGCCATCAGATGACTAAGATGCTGGATCTACTGGAAGACTTCCTGGAGAATGACGGCTACAAATATGAGAGACTTGATGGGAGCATCACTGGAACCATGAGACAAGAGGCCATTGATAGGTTCAACGGTGAGGCTTTCTCTTATGTCGTCATGAGGTCCTTAGTAAGTTGCCCGTTTTTCTGATTTGTTCAGAAGTCATGGCTGTTTCTCCATCTGTTTCAGCTCCTGGAGCTCAACAGTTTGTCTTTCTGCTGTCAACAAGGGCTGGCGGTTTGGGTATAAACCTCGCCACGGCTGACACGGTCATCATTTATGACTCTGACTGGAATCCACACAACGACATTCAGGTAGGTAGCTGATGCAGCTCACTCCAGTAACCGGCCATCAGCCTTGATTCTCCATCCTCCCAGTGAAGTGTGAATCTCTGCCCTGTCCACCTTCCAGGCCTTCAGCCGTGCTCACCGCATTGGTCAGAACAAGAAGGTCATGATTTACCGCTTTGTGACTAAAGCCTCCGTGGAGGAGAGGGTCACTCAGGTGAGGCTGGCGTGAGTATGGTGTATGTGCCACCGGTCAGTATCGTGGGGCGACGCCATAACAGCAGCCATGATTCATCTGCTGTAGGTAGCAAAGAAGAAGATGATGTTGACCCACTTGGTTGTGCGTCCTGGGCTGGGCTCGAAGACCGGCTCCATGTCCAAGCAGGAGTTGGACGACATCCTCAAATTTGGCACTGAGGAGCTTTTCAAAGATGAAAATGGAGAAGGTGGTTTTGGGTTCTGGCTGCGCCGGGTTTATATGTGCATGCAGAACGCTACCTCACTGTTATGAAAATGTACATCATCTCATTCCCTCCTGATCACCCCGTCAGTGACGTGGTGGGTCCACCAAACTGACCATCTATTTTTCCCTGCCGCCCTCTTCTCCCTAATATGGCTTACAGGAGAGAACAAGGAGGATGACAGCAGTGTAATCCACTATGACGACAAGGCGATTGAGCGCCTGCTGGATCGCAACCAGGATGCCACGGACGACACTGAGATCCAGAGCATGAATGACTATTTGAGCTCTTTCAAGGTGGCCCAGTATGTGGTGAAGGATGAGAAGGACACAGTAAGTGATTCTTCAGGGATTCTCCAGCCCATCGCTCATCCTGTACTATGGTGGTTTAGGGCTGAAAATAGAAAACGTTAAAGTGTTTTAGCTGCGGCGTTTGGTAATGGAATTCACACTATTAAAGTAGTTGGTTAACCCATTCATTGCTCAAAACCAATGATCCAGTTCAGGGCTGCGGGAAGCCTGTGAAATACTATGTGCTCTGCAGGGGATATGAGAGATGACAGGCCGGTTCATAGCGGGGTGTGTACTTGCACCTGCTGGGTGGCTGCAGGGCACGTTTACAAAGCTCACCAGCCCATTTTTTGTTGTTTTTGAGATGAAAACGCCAGTGACCTAAAGTCAGGCTTCCTCATCGCAGTAAAGTATCGGGAACTGAAACACACTCAGTTTTCACGTAATCTAGTGAAGAACTTCCGTTAAATTTGCCAGAATTTACCAAGTGCACAGAAATGGTGCTTATTAACAAACTGGACTGGGAGAGTTTGGACTGGGAGGTGATGCCTGGATCCGCCATGTAGGGCCATCTTGTGGGAGTTAAGATTGCCCACCCAGTCCTTGTCCCCTCTTTCACTCATGGACAGGAGTTTTGCGGGTACAAGCAGTAAAATCGACGTTTTTCCATGGAGGTGCTGGACTTATCAGTCTAGGAGTTATCAGATATGTAGGGACCTCAGCATAGAGCTGCTCCTCCTTCTGTTTGAGAGTAACCAGCAAGGGTGCTAAAGGCACCTTATAAGGATGCCACCTGGATGGATACCAAGGGCACTGTCCCGGGGCATGGGCCCCAGGCTGACACAGGACAGGGGGGAGGGATTATAACTCCTGGGGAGTTTGGGGACGTGCAGGGATTCCCCAGAATGAGAGTCCATGGCGATGGAAAGAAAGCTGCCAGCACAGACCTCCCGAGGAAAAGCCATGCAGGAACGAGGACCAGGAAGTCCTTTAAAATTGTGCAGAAATGTGAGGAAAATTGAATCTTGGGAAGATTTTCGGTAAAATTACTTTGGGAAGGAGGTTTAATGAAATGCACTGAGAAGATGACTGAGGTCGCATGATATGACACAGAAGCTTTCGCTGCTTGCTTCAGTCTGCATGGCAGCAGTGTTCAGGGACTGTGACTCCCGCAGGACGAGGAGGTGCAGCAGGAGCTGGCCCGGCTGGAGGAGAACGCCGAGCCGGACTACTGGGAAAAGCTGCTGAGACATCACTACGAGCACTACCAGGAGGACCTGGCGCGCCACCTGGGCAAGGGCAAGCGCAAGCGCAAGCAGGTCAACTACAGCGATGGGGCACAGGATGACCGAGGTAGGGCCCGTCGGGTCTGGGGCGGCGGCAGTGCATGCGCTCCTCCTATCCAGAGTGCAAAAGCCCAGCATTTAATGAAGAGTGTACAACCTCTGGCTGTGATTCAACCCAGAGTGACGTTATGTAGCGTCCATAAAGAGGCCTACCATGGCCTGAGGACACTGGGCAGAGGGGCTCGATTATCAAGGAAGAGTCAGGGCAATATTTGGGCTTGACTGCTGTATAAGCTGTGTGTGTGTGTGACGGGCGTTCTCAATAAGACACTTCCTCTCTGAACAGACTGGCAGGACGACCAGTCGGACTATCAGTCCGATTATTCTGTGGCTTCAGAGGAGGGAGATGAGGACTTTGATGAGCGTTCAGAAGGTAATGAGAGTGTGTGTCTGTGTCTCTGTGTGTGTTGGGGGGGGGCAACTGCTGTGTGTATATAATATTGTATGTGTCCGCAATGTGATAAAAACCTGTTATATTGACGATGTGGGGACCATTTTTTTGTTCGCCACAAGGGGAAACTCAGTTTTATAAAAATCAGACTCCCTCACTCTGTACCCCTACGCTGACTCCCTACCCCTCACACTGAATCTTTCTTCCCTGTCGCGCTGACTCTCTCCTCGCTCTGACTCTCCCCACGCTGACTTCCTCCCCTGCTTTGACTCCCTCTTCCTATGCTGACTTCCTCCCCCTGCTTTGACTCCCCCCCCCCGACACTGACTCCCTCCCCTGCGTGCTGACTCCCTACCCCTCACACTGACTCTTTCTCCCCCCGTTGTGCTGACTCTCTCCTCGCTCTGACTCTCCTTGCGCTGACTCTCTTCTTGCAGTGAGCTCCCGCCGGCCCAACAGGAAAGGCCTGAGGAATGAGAAGGAGAAGTCCCTGTCTCCCCTGATGGCCCGAGTGGGCGGCAATGTCGAGGTACTTCTGTCTCCGTCCCTCTCCTTCTCTCACTCGCCTTCTCTTTCTCTTACTTGCTCACACACTTGCTGTCACGCTCACTTTCTTGCTCTCTCTCCTTCACTCACATACACTCTCTCCTTCGCTTTGCCACTCACTCACTCAAACACTCCCTCACACTCTCTCCCTCTCTCTTTTTCTCACTCCCTTGCTTATGCTCTCACCCTCTCCTTCTCCTCCTCACTCGCTCTCTCCCTCTGTCTTTTTCTGTCACTCCTTCATGTTCTCTCCCTCTCTTTCTTTCTCACTCGCTCTCTCCCTCGCTCTCTCCCTCTCTCTTTTTCTCTCACTTCCCCTCCTCACCCTCTCCCCCCCCTGACACACGTGTCATCTATAGGTGTTGGGCTTTAACGCCCGCCAGAGGAAGGCCTTCCTGAATGCAGTGATGCGTTATGGGATGCCCCCCCAGAATGCCTTCACTGCGCAGTGGGTAGTCAGGGACCTGCGTGGGAAATCTGATGAGGAGTTCAAGTGAGTTTGGCCCCCACTTGCTGCTGAAGTAGGGCCCCCCCCCCCCCCCGCCAAGGTCATATCCGCACTCAGTACCTCGTTCTTTGACCTTCTTGATCTCCGTCTCGCTCAGGGCCTACGTTGCCCTCTTCATGCGGCACCTCTGTGAGCCCATCGCTGAGCGAGTAGAGACCTTCGCCGATGGCGTCCCTCGAGAGGGCCTGTCACGGCAGCACGTGCTGACGCGCATCGGCGTGATGTCCCTCATCCGCAGGAAGGTAACCCGCTGCCCGTTTCTGGTTGTATTTCATTCAGGCTTTTGCACTCTTTGCTTGTTGTACACATTTTTTTCTCACAGAGCTATTTAAATGGAAAAATAAATACGTGAATGTAAATATTCAATAATAAGGATATAATATAAATAATGATCTTGTTCATGCTGTCTTTAAACTTAGTGGATGGGCTGAGTGTGATAATGACACGTCACTGCTGACAAAACGGCACCAGATATCAGTTTCGTTGGCCGAACGTCAGGGGCGGAGCGCGGTTCAGGTCCGAACGTCAGGGGCGAAGCGCGGTTCGGGTCCGAACGTCAGGGGCGGAGCGCGGTTCGGGTCCGAATGTCAGGGGCGGAGCGCGGTTCGGTTCGGGGCCGATCGTCAGGGGCGGAGCGCGGTTCGGGGCCGAACGTCAGGGGCGGAGCGCGGTTCGGGGCCGAACGTCAGGGGCGGAGCGC